TATCTCGGAAGGAAGGTTGGGCAATCCTACTTCCGTAGTGATACTGCCTCGGAAACCCAAGGAGTGGTCGCTATGAGTCGGGGGCAACTCGACGGCAAAATAACAACAATAACAACATATATAAAATGTCAGATAATACTACATCTCTTAAGTCTGACTGTCTTCCCTCCTTCTGAGGAATTTAAAGTGTGTAGACAATAGAGTTCAAGATGAATGTCAATCCACAATCCAAGAGGCCTCTGGGATAAGACCTCCCCTCAAAATGACAAACACAGCTCAACAAATAAGCAGGAATAATTAGTAATAAATGATGCATAAAGTTCTACTCAATAAATATATTACATCAGTTGCCCACTCCATCTGTCTTTCAAGCACGGGTTTCCAACAGTCACCACTTACCTAAATGTTGTAAAATATTATCCCAGAATCACACAATCACTAGACTAAACAGTAATGATAAATGGATCTGCAGATAACAGAGACCAGATTCATCTGGTTGGGGAAAGGAACTGAATTAAACTTGGTAGGGAATGGACATCAAATATTAACTGAGGTGGGGATAATGGAGCAATATAATGTGAAAAGCCATCTGGAAATGATCTCTGTTTAGCTTTGAGTATCCGTGAAACAAGAGAACAAGCTTCACCTTTATTTATTGTTTTCCATGGTTTTTGCCGTCTTCTACCTTCACACCTGGGAGCTCTGGTAGCATAGTGGCTAAGGCACTTGCCTGCTAACCAGAAGGGTGGTGGTTCAAACCCACCAGCCACTCCTCGGAAGGAAGATGGGGCAATCTACGTCCGTAGTGATACTACCTCGGAAACCCAAGGAGGGGTCGCTATGAGTCAGGTCCTACTCGATGGCACATAACAACAACAACAACACCCTCATACCTAATAGCCAGAGGAACACAAAGCTGGGATAATCCATAGCAAAGAATATCAATTACACCAGCCACTCCTCGGGAGGAAGATGGGGCAATCTACTTCCATAGTGATACTGCCTCGGAAAACCAAGGAGGGATTGCTATGAGTCAGGTCCAACTCGACGGCACATAACAACAACAACAACATGGACTAATAAAATCTTTCCTGCTAATCAAGTAAAAAATGCTCATGTAAAAAATTTTAGAGGGACCATCACACTCTGAAACCCTCAGTAACAAATCTTAAATAAGTTGCCATTGAGTTGATTCAGACTTGTGGTGACCCGTATGTGTCAGAGCAGAACTTAGCTCCATAGGGTTTTCAGTGGTTAACTTTTCAGGACATCATCCGAGCTTTCTTTCAAAGTGCCTCTGGGTAGATTCAAACTTCTAACCTTTTAGTTAGCAGCTCAGCACATTAATGGTCTGTACTCCATAAAGTGCTAGATCAGGGCTGTAAAAGATCAGTCAGGTCTCAAAGAAGTTACATTTTTCCTTCTTTACTGTATTTTCTCACACATGATAAAACTAGCAAGTATTAACCACTTACTCCATGCCAGACACTGTGCTAAGTAATAATCTTATGAAGTTAGTAGAGGTGGGATCCAAACTCAAGGTGCTCTGATCCCAAAACCTGTGCTCTTAGCCACTCTGGCTTTACTAGTAAAAGTACACAGGCATGAAGCACCATGGTGTAACTATAAGCATTTCAATGCAGTTGGAATATAAAGTTTAAGAAATAGAGTGGAAAGACTTGAGGTAAGTGACACAGACAGGACCAAATCATGGAAGGCTTTGCATCCCATTTAAAGAAGTACAGGCTCTGTCTTGATCTTCTGGGACATTGGGAGGCACAGGAAATCCTAAGCAGGAGTACAATAGTCAGATTTGTGTTTTCGGAAGATTCTCCTGGTAGCATTAAGGACGATGCACTGTTTGCCTACTGCTGGTTAGGCAGATTGCAAACCCCACAATCACAGCAATCACTGCACTCTGGAGACACAGTCAGTTAGCTCAGAGTTAGTGTTATTACAACCAGGCTTAATGTGATAATTACTAACTCACTGGATGAGGCACTCATGCATAGAGGCCAGGGCAGGTGGGTACCAATTTTATTTTCAACTTACAAAATGAGACTGCAGCTGAGAAAAACTGAATGATCTCTTCATGATTTTAGAGCAAGTCCCCTATAGAACTCTGGATCTATGACTACAAAACTGCTTGAAACCTAGATAGAGCCAGACTAGAATACATGCTGCAGAGGAACTCACTCTGGGTCCATTCCAACCTCCTGAAATGCAGAGATAGAAAAGTAAAAGCTACATTTATCAGAATCCTTTGCAGCTATGCTTTCATATATAATTTAAGTTTTGCTTCTCATATGCACTTAAAAAAATACACTTGAATTCTGAACTGTGGTGAGTAAAAAAAGAAGCAGAAAAACTGAAGGATGTAACTACATGAAACTTAGAAGAAGAACTGGACAAAAATAAATACTTTACAGAGGAAACACCGTTAAAAAGATCAAAAGGGAAATTAAAATTGTGTTTACAATAAAATGACACAAAATGTTCCTATTTATAAAGGAAGGACTGCAAGTGTGTGATATGATAAAATATTTATAACTACTTAAGCTTAGGAAATTGTCTCTGTGAAATTAACTAAAATGTGTTGAAGACCTTGCCAAAGTAAAATAACTATTTTCCTATTTAAAAAGCTGGGAGTTGAGGAGGATCCAAGATGGAGGACTAGGCAGATACATTATCCAGCCCCTCTATAACAAAGATTTGAGAAACCAAGTAAAATGGATACAGATGACAATCCTGGAACCGAGAGCTTCAAAAGAAAGGATAAACAAGAAGATCAAATAGTGAAGAGAGGAAGAAACTGAATAGAAACAGTGAACAAAGAGTGATAAACTGCCAACCAGCACAACATGGCCATTTTGTATTATTACAAGCAGCATTCCAATAGGACCAGACAACCAGACAACCAGCTCACATCAGTGATCAGGTGAGCAGAGAAGTGTGACCTCCCTCCTTACCTTGCACAACTGCCTGCCACAGGATCATGAGCAGCATCTGGTGGGAGATACACACTCCTACAGAGCAAACACTGCATTCCCACTCAGTCCTGTTTAGTGCTTGGTAGTTTCACCAGTCCTGTGCTTTTTTTCCTTTTTCAAATTTTTCTTTTTTCTTTCTTTTTAGTTCTTTCCTCTTCTCCTCCTTTTTTTTCCTCTTTTCTTTTTCTCTTCCTATTCACTTTGCCCTTTTTTTGGATCTCAGGGAACAGGTACACACTGCCCCCACCAGTCAGTAGTGCCCACTTCCACCCCCTCATGGATAGAGTGAGCACTGTGTTTCTGCTGCAGCTGTCATTTTGCCTAACACTTGCCCCAGTTTTTCTCTTCTTTTCTCTTCTTTCATTTTTCCTTTCTTCTCAGTTCTTTCCTCTTCCCCTGCTCTTGCTTTCTTTTCTTTCTTCCTCTTCCCTTCCCACCTTT